TCCGACAAGGAATCCAACTGAAAGCGGTCAGTGGTCCCTCTGAAAACACACATACACACACACACCTGTCACTCAGCAGGGCTTTGTTGTGATGTTTATTTTTCTCTTTCTGCAGAGAGAAGACAGTGTTGACCAACCCCCTGCCACCCCGGCTCCATCAGCAGGTATCGTTGGAGCTCTGATGGAGGTGATGCAGAAACGGAGCAAAGCCATCCACTCTTCAGGTACTTCAACCAACAAACACCAACACTGGAATTCACTGAGTCATCATAAATATTTGTTGTCAGTGTTTTGGAACATAAGCTCACGTTCAAGTCAATGGTTCCCAAACTTTTTCTGCAGCGCCCCCTTATGTACGTAGTACTCCAGAGGAGCCCCCACTACATTACAAATCTCAACTAAATAGTACTCCAGAGGAGCCCCCACTACATTGTTACAAATCTCTACTAAACCTTATTCTAAAACACTGTAATTTAGTCGGTTCCATAGTGTAGCGGTTAGCACGCCTGCCTCAGAAGTAGATAGCAGAGAGTCCTGCGTTCGATTCCCAGAGGAACCACATGCTTGGCGCTTGCTATGGGCGGCCTGTTAACAGCATATGTGCTGGTAACACAAGAAATTCTCAAATATGGGGTCAGTATAGTATAAATTTATTTGACTTGCCTTGGTGGACCCCCCTGCAATAACTCCGTCCCTCTTATGAGCCCCACGCTTTGAGAACCACTGATTTAAGTCAAATCAGTACAGTCAGGTGCTGCACAAGCTTTTGACCTATTGTGCCGTCACGCTTGACCTTAAAAGAAAAAGAAAACGAAGCTAAAAGAAGAAGAGTCAAATGTTAACTTCACACTGGATCACATTGTTAGCCTGACATTGAAACTAGACATGAACTTCCCCCTGGTGTTGGTCACAGGACACTCTGCCTCCAAAATTTGAGATCCCCCGCTTTCTCCACTTCCTCCTCAGTCTCAAACTTCCACTGAGATTTTCTATTTCAAGTCTTATCAGATGGAAGTGTTTGTTCACAGCTCAAACGCTGCTCCTTAAACGTAACCAGAGAAGGTTCAAAGTGAAGGTCGCTGACCTGGGCACATTAAATTTTCAAGAAGCCTAACGCGTCGATCGCTGCTGCTCACAGGAGCAGATGACATGAGCTCGCTGGAAGCCTAATATGAATAATTTCCCCTCAAACCCCGTCCAGAAGAACCGGGTGTTTTTCACTCACAGCAGCTGCCGCTGTGACGCTGTCATGAAGAACTAGGCTGTGATGATGAATGTGATGAATTTATTGCTAAAACGTACAGGTTCACCTGAAACTTATTTACGAAAGTCAACCCGAAAATCCTGGTCACCAAAAATCCACAAAACTCTACTTTTATCATTCCTTGTCCTGTTTATAATGGTTGATTTATCTCATGATTAATCTCCTGTTTATAATGGTTGATTTATCTCAGTTAATCAAGATTAGTCATGATCATGATTAATTGTGATTAATGACACAGTTCCACTCTCATTACGCAGATAAAAAAAATAATAATTTAATCGTTTCTTTGAAGTAAAAATAAAATGTTAGCTTGCTGTGTCCACCCAGCAATAGCTCTTTGCCCCCTAAGGGGGCCTGCCTCGAACTTTGAGAACCACTGCCCTGCTATTGTCTCTTGTAGCTGTTTTGTTCCTGGTACTGTTTGTAGTGCCTCTGATTGAAACTACTTTATCCAACAAAAAAATGTTAACATTGTCTCGTATTCCACAGATGAGGACGAGGACGAAGAAGACGACGAGGACTTTGAGGATGACGACGAGTGGGAGGATTAGCAATATTTCTGTCGCACTCCTGCCTCTTTACAAACTCAGAGATGATTATGACACTAAAAATGTTCTTGTCTTTCGGAAAAAGAAATCTCTAATTTTCCAAATTTATAAATGTAAATGTTCTATCAGTTTTTTTTCTGTATATTTTTGCCACCTTTATGCTTTTTTTTTAATTAATCTGTGCAATACCTCATATAATCTGTCAACGTCTCTCACTTCTCTGGTTGCTGTTTCTCCTGAGTCCTCGTCACGTCTGTTGTCGGTTCCATCTCCGTCTCTGGACGTTAAGGTCTCATCTGTCACTTTAACTCCTGCTCTTCCTCATCCCTCCGTGTCTCCTCCTCCTCCTCGTATCATGTTTCAGATGCTTTGATGTTAATCACCTCCATCTGTCCGTCAGCCACTCATCGCACGTTTCCTCCCCATCACTCACTCTGTTCTGTTTCTCCCTGTGCAATTTCACATCCATGTCTTATTAATGTACCAGAGGAAAGAACTATTGTCACACCCTGAGCTCCGTAGTTTTTTGTGTTCTCAGATCATGCTAGTTTTACAGACGTATTTTTTCCAACAGAGAAAAGCATCATGAATGTTACTACACTTTAAGCCGTTAACTCACCAACACACTACACACACACTACACACACAAGACTTTCCTATTTGATTTTACCATATCTGTTCTGTTTTTTTTTTCTTCTTTTTTTTGTCAGTGTCACTACAGATAATTTTGTTAATGTTTTTTTTCTGTTTGTTTGTTTTTAAGCAAGCAGAAAATAAATACCTGTCTGTTTGTTGGGATCAGGTGACTCATCATGTCAAGATTGAGGAATAAAGATATTTTAGTTTTACACACCTAGTGCTTACGATGGCTCCATGTTATGGTTGAGTTTCTGGTCTGAAGTGCAACAACATGAGGAAAAGACGTAAATGTGGAATTGTTCACAGAATGTCTTTGGCCGTCCCTGTTTTGTTTTGCTACAAAAGAGCCAGAAACCCAAGAGATTGTTGGTCATTGTTTAATTAATTATTTTTCAAATGAATTTCTCTTTGCAGACCGTTCACCAGTGATGTTTATTGGTCCAATTTACATACTAAAACTGGTAGTTTTTCAGAATGAATATTTGGACTGGTAGCTGATTTTTAAAAAGTAAACTGTCGACCTGAGGAGATTAGACAGGAGGAGCATCGTCACCTTTTCTGTGGTACTAACCTGTCACCTAGTTTGTCTCTGACCAACTGTGAAAAAAACACTAAGCCCAATGACCAGCGCCCCCTTTTGAAGATGTAACTAACAGTGTAATTTCTATTAAAAAGAAACATATGTTAGTGCCACTAAGCAAAATAATTAAATTACACTGATTAAAAAAAAACATTTAAACCAATTTGCTTTGTTGCTAACGCCAGCATAATACATTGGACTCTATTGGAGGCCCCGCCCCCCCACCATGGGAACTAAAGATGTAACATTTAGAGTGGCACTTTACACCTTATTAAATTCCATGAATGTGAATACTTGGATTTAGCAGTGAGGGCATGTTGCTGCAGGTTAACGCATCATTTTTCTAGGACAGTGGAGGCAACGCTGGCTCAGTGTCCACACAGTGTCCACACAGTTAAAACAAAATGGATTCTTTTAAATGTGAAGATACAGCACCTTAGTATCGTTGGCCTGATTTGAATGTCTGTTAAACTAAGGTCTAAGTAATCTTCCTTAATCGGAAACTTCAGTGATTAAAAACAAACCAAATCCCGTAGCCAATTCTGCTCTCTTTGGTCAACGCAAATTTTGCTAAACATGGACAAATGGCCATTAGTTGCATGTTTAAAGTTTATGTATTTTTGAAAGTATGAGTTTTTTTTCCAGGAGGAATGAACGATGTGTGTCTCGGTTAATACGGTCTCCATGCTTAGTCGGTATCAACAGGTCTCATAGTTTTATTAAAGATATTATTTCTCTTCAGTAAAGATACCATGGTGCCAAATCTCTCTCACTCGGGATTGATAAACAAACCACCACGTTGTACTTCAATAAACGGTTGAGATTTATACACAGTGGTACGTGAGCTTCTGTTGCTATGGAAATGGTAACGTTGAAATGCTTTTTGTGGTTCAGTTTTATAATTGTACATTTTTTCAATATTTGTGGCAACTACCCAAGCAGCTCCTGTGCAAATTTGAAGCAATATATCCTTATATGTAACTCTTAGTTACTAGTTATTTTGTGCTACATGTTTGACTAACTTTTAGATGTGCTAACATTTACCTGTCTTCCAGGAGGATTCGACTACAACACCACATACGTGAGTTGACTGAAAATTCTGTTTCCAACAGTAGTCTAATTTTAAAAATAAGAATAAAAAATATGAAACTAGAATGTGATCCTCAACAATAAGAACAGAAACAGGATACTCGTGATTTATTTTTAGATGAAGTCCGGAATCACCTGACACCGTGTATGGGCTCCTGCTACAGAGCTCAGGAGAGCGATAACAGCAGCCACGGTACTTTAATACAGTGTGACACAGGGAGCTCCATCAACACACACAGGCTAATAGCATTTATGGAAAGAAAAAAAAAGCAAAGTTTGTGCAGCCACAGCTAGTTGTTTCTGGGCCCCAATTACTGGCAGTTCAGAGCAGTCGAGCTGCCAGTGATTGGGTGTCAGGTTCTACTTCGTTGGTCACATTAGCACAAGTGTGTGGTTAGCACTCAAGTGGTTAGCAATCAATGTCGAGGTGTGTAGAATGATGGGAAGTGTTTGAATTAATTGCAAAAATATATATATATAAATTTAATTGTCAAACCGGAGCAAGGAGGAAAGAAGTTATGTTTGTCAAACCGGAGCAAGGAGGAAAGAAAAAGTTATGCGAAATGACCATAAAAGACACGAGAGCAGTTAAACATGACGTTAGCAGGAAACCATTAGCCACCAGCGCTAACAGACGTTGACGTGAAGCCAATCTGGAGTTCCTACTCAAAGACAAGGCCGAGGTAAGAAATGTTTATAATAAACATTCAACAGAACTGTTAACTGGCTCAGGACACATTTGAGGACAGATTTGTTGAGTTTGGGTTTGTTTTTTTTAAAGATGGGGAAGAGTAAAGTTACTGGAATTAGCCGCAGCTTTAACACGCTACGTGGCCCTGCCCACACCCTGGAGGTTTTTCCTTCTTTTTTATTTTCTTCAGAAGTCAAACGTCAATAATTGATTCTTAATGTCAAGAATTAACTTAAAATATTTAAAATACTTTGAATAAAAGGACTAAAAAGTTTATGTATTTACATGTCTAAAACGTTCACAGAGGCGTTTACATTTAATAAATTACAGGTTAATATTTGGTTAAAAAAACTTGGTTAATACATCGTTAAGCTTAATAATTCATTGTAAAATAAATCAAGGTATTTTATTCAAATAAACAACCAAAATTAAAATCCTTGTTATAGTTTTTAAGCTTTGAGTTCCTACATCCGGTTGATGATGCGGTTGTTTAGTTTAATTGAATATAACAAGTACATTAATATTAAAGGACTGTCATTGTGAGTTCGTTCTGACGTATGAAAATTAGCGTTAAAACTAAATGAGTTGTGATAACGCCCCGGTGAGTTCAGTAAGAAAAGAAAGAAAAAAACCGCTGAGCTCCGTGACTGAGAAACCAATGTGATCGAACCAATTACTGTTAACGCTGTACGCCCAAAAATCTACATAGGATACTGGCCGGTGGTGCAGTGGTTCAGACTCTGCTATTACATTTCCTGGCATTTCCCCACAGAGCAGGAACACCTCTGTCCATCCCGATAATGCAATGACCACCACCCTGAGTGCACAGGCCCCACTTACACACAGGAAGTGGCTGCTTTTTATGGTCCCGCTGACAGCCTGGCGGATATGACAGAGTGCAGTGCTTGAGTAGAGGAAGTTTTATTCTCAGACACTTAGCTCAGAGAATGCATTGTGGCTGCTGCAGAAACCAATGTACAGAGTTCTGCCTGAGGATTTCTTTTCTTTTTCTTTTCTTTTTTCTCCCCCAAGTTTCACGTGATCAAGTAAAAGTTTTAAGTAGTAAAGGTAGAGATTGATTCAGACATAGCACCCATAAAGTACTGTATCCATATTTGCTCTTTAAATTCCCATGATGCATGTATTTAATGACCATAAGGTTAACTCATTGCTAGTATTAGCTTTTCAATAAGCCAGGGAAGTTATTTATGCTAACTAAAGTCAGTTAAGGTGAATTCACAACTCTTTAACACACAGCTTATATACATACTGTATATACACACATGTATGTATATATGTATGTATGTATTTGTAAATATATGTATGTATATTCTACATTTTTAAAATTAGTTTCACTTCAGCAAAAAGCAGAAAAGACACAATGTTGGAAAAAATATAAAAAAGAAAAACAACTAATGCCTCCATCGGTTCCATCTAGTTCCAAGATATATTTTTCTGCTTTACTAAATCCCATGGACTGACAGCGTGGAATATTTATATATATTTTTTAGAATCATGTTTGATTGATATGATTTAAAACACATTTATCATCATTGAATTGTATGTTTTCCTGCCGTCGCCACCTTCCAGTCCCTGACGGTACTGCCTGTGGGAACATTTCCAACATCCATAAACAAATGCAGATGTATCAAGCTTACTGATGCCTGAGGCTCACATTTGTCTTCTTTCTCTTCTTCTCCAAGACAAATCTGCCCTCTCACTCTGGGTCTGTCCATCCTGACCTTTGACCTCCATCATGTGTCTGACTCCTGATTTATTTTGTTTATTTTCTGCTCTGCTTTATCCACTTTTTTTGGTTGTTACCTCATCTTCTCCACCTGGGGCTGTGGGTGGGATTGTTGTCCCTCGTGTCAGTTTTGATGTTGTGTCTTGATGTTCTGTCTTTTGTCCGTTTTGTAGCCTGCGTTCGAAATTTGTTATCAACTCAGCAACTGACATCCCATCTTTGTTTCTGTAAAAGTCCCACAATGCTTAACACCTGATTAACATGATTTTTTGTAAAGTATGAAATGTCCTTGCCAGAACATGCTTTGTTCTTGTTTTTATAATTACTTTTTTCTGCATGTTTAAAAAAAAGTCATGTTCTAAACCATTTGTTTGAAAGAAATCCAAAAAAAAGGGAAAAAAACATCTTTCAATGGAGCAAATCTTGAATGCTAACAGAACTTAGCATGATGTGTGGCTGTACAAAGTGTAAATAATCTTGTTTAGTCCACAGCAAAACCCATAAACTGACGTATTACATTAAAATATTAATGATGTTGAACAAACACTAAAACAAGAGGGAATAACGGGAAGCCAATAATGCTACCGATAGCATTGGTAAGCTTAAAGGGAAGTGTTAATGATGATATGATGGGGGAAAAACAACAATTTTACAACAATTTTAAATAATTGCTATCATTAAGCCAAATACATTTAGACAATCGCACAATTCAACCATCAACAGATTTCCTCCGTATTTACAATTTTACAAGTTTAACTTTAATCGATAGCTCGTAAATCAACTCATTATAAAAACAAACCAACAACAAAAAAGGCATTGAAATGTAAAGCTGTTACTGCAGTCCAAATTTTCAGCACTTTTTTTTAAAGCTAGTAAGAAGTAAAACTGTGTGTACTCCTCCCACATTTCCACCCCCCGTCACCGTTGATCGATCTTCACGATGATCATTTTGCGGATTCCCATGGTGATGCCAGGACCTGGTCTGGAACTGCTTTTATCATCGTAGATGATGTGGAAGTTCAACCTGGAGGATAAAAAGAGTCGTTCAGTGGGTTCTAGTGGGTTAGAAATGTTTTTTTAGACTGTTCTACAGCAGGCTAACCCTGCTAACCCTGTTTTGGGGCAGATCGGAACATTGGGAGTTGCAGTACTGCCACCTAGTTGATCTGTTTAGTAAATATTTAAACTAGATGGCGTCTCAATGACTGCTAATAGAAAGGAAAAAAAGGAGAAAACACAGCGAGAAGGTAGAATCACTGCTGATGTTCACTGGATCAAATATTTTCTGGTCATTTTCTGTGACCCTTGAAAACCGACTGAAGGGTTTCGTTTTGGATGATTGTAACAGTAACCTGGAACTAGCTTTAGCGTGGAATCAATTGGTGTTAACAGGCAATGCTTTGTATTTTGTTTTGTTGTGTGCTGTGGTAACAATCATATTGTCGCTGCCTTTATCAGAGCTCCTCTGAGAGGTTTCTATAAATATCAGCACTAAGTGACAGGAATCTCACAGCTACCGGACCCTCGCCCTCTGAGGGCAGAGACAATTTTCCACTCTCCTAAAACAACAGGCTGTTCTATACGTAGCTCCAGCCACGATGGAGTTGACTGAGCAGGAACTCAGGCGCTTTTGTCCGTTGTTCTTCTTGCTTTCTCTTTTCTGTTCCCCTTTTCATCCCCCGTGTCGATGCGTAACGTCTACCCCTTTAGGTTGACTGGAAACTCTCACCACGTGTTCTGTTTTCCGTGACTTTCTAGCTGTGAAAGTATTGTGACGGCATCACGGTGCAGTGCTGACTGGTGGTAAGGGGTCTATTGTCTGCCTACCTCAGAGTAGACACACAGTGATGTGACTCAGACACCACTGACTCTGTGTCATCCTCATTTAAATGCAACTTCCTTCCACAGAGGGACTGTGTTTTTATGCCAGACTACACATGTGGAGGAGAATTTTAAATATTTGTTTTTAATATACATATTATATTTAAAAACATAAGGTTTAAAAGTGCTTCTTAAAAAAAGGCCTCATTTATTGTTGGGCAAAAAAGATGAGGAAGAGCTGCTAATACATCAAAACACTGCTAATATAATATCTTCTTTCAACGTAGAACAGTATTAAAGTCTGGAGGATATGTCTACAATCAAAAAGGTCTCGTATAGATTTGGACTTCTTAAAAAAAAGGCCTCATTTATTGTTGGGCAAAAAAGATGAGGAAGACTAAACTAAGAATTGACACAACAATAACTACTGTTATGGTGAAACAAAAGTAAGTTATCCAAAAGTAAAATATAGAAAAACAAAGGTTCAGCTAAGATAATTGTGACTGAATTAAATTTAGAATTTCTAAAATAAATGAATAAATTAAACAATAAGAACTGGAAATGTGTGTAAAAGAATTTCCAGGTCCCTGTTTTTGTGTCACTGCTCTGACTTACTCGTCTGAGTTTTTGCATGCTGCTGGTCCGGATGGATTCCATCAGCTGGTCATGGGCCGATCTCATGGGTGTGGACGGCCGGCTGACCTCCTCCATCCTCCTGTCCACCGACACTGGTCTCAGTGCGTTCTTCAGCTCCTTCAGGATGCTGCTGGTTTCGTCCTTCTGCGCATCCTTCTGTTTGCTTTTCTTTCCTTTCTTCCCTTTCGTCTTCGAAGGCTTCTTGTTGCCGGCCTCATGGGCCTTGATGACCTCTGCGATCATCCTGGTTGGCTTCTTCTCCTTCTGTTGGGAGGGCAGCGGTGGAGGAGGGGGAGGTGGTGGTGGCGGAGGTGGAGGTGGTGGTGGCGGCGGCGGAGCGGGAGGTGTTTGTTTTTTAGCGTCATGCCGGGGAAGTTTAGGTGAGGACCAGGGAGAAGCTCTGGGGGAGTTGTAAGGTGATGAAGATGGTGTTCCTCTCTGAGAATGGGAAACAAAGGGATTATTTACTGTATTGTATTGACTTTTTTTTTAACATCAAGATTAATTTATGTACCAGTGCCGTGGTTCTTGGGTTGACGACTCCTTCTGTTCCTCCTTGTTGTCCTTGTCCCTGTTGTTGCTGCCGCTGCTCCTGCAGACGTTTCTGTCGCTGGCGGTCCTGGTTCCGGGTGAGGATTCCTGTCATGCTCATTCTCGGGCCAGGGAGGTTGAACTGATAACCCAGTTTGATCAGAGTGAAGTTTTCCCTCAGTATCTTCACCATCTCCATCTCTACCTATAACATGGAGATGGAAACCAAGTGACCGATGAGTAAAAAAAACAACTTTTACAGCTGCAAATCTGAGGTTTGGCAACTTTTACAGCTGCAAATCTGAGGTTCGGGAGGAAAACAAACCTGTCCTCCACACATGTGTCTCTGGTTGTGGAATCGGAGTTCGGTCAGTGTTTTGTTTCCTGGAAGTGCCTGAACCAGAGCCATCACTCCCTTCCCAGTCACATAGTTCGACTCTATATTCAGACTGATGATGGACGAGTTCTCCCTCAACATCTTGGAGATGGCCAAAGCCACGTTGTCGTCAGCTCTGGTGTTAGCCAGGCTAAAGTTACGCACGTGTGTGTTGGACCTCAGGGCTTCGGCGAAACGAATCAGGTTTTCCTTATGTTAAAATACAACATAATAGTTACAGTGAAATTCATTAACATTACAACAAATATGTCCTTGTAGATCTAGAATCTGTTTCGGTTTTTTTTGTTATGCTACAAAATAGGATAGTTAAACTAAGGATTATACAATTTATGATAACACGCGTTAGCAATGCTAACCGATATTAAGGAGAACTGTACAGAAAATAAACTCGGCTTTTACTATTAGCACAAGAAGATAGCATAAGAAGATGCTAACTGAAGTTAGCTAATTAAGTAGCTAATAGCCAAAACTTAAATACTCAATGAAAGAGTACTAACTCAGATCTGTGAATTGATTTAAGGAAAACATTAAAATGCAAATCTCTGCCTCGTTGGTGAGGCTGTCTTTAAAGGTTTGCTGTTGACACTTCGGTTGTGTTGAAACAACAGAAGTGACTTAGTTGACTTAGTTCATGTCTTATAAATTAGCGCGTCTTGTATATTTGTCTTTTTTGTTTATTCTACTTTCTCCTCCCTCCCTCCTTTGGTTACAAATGCTGTGTTTAATACATGTCAACGACAACTAGGTGGCAATTCTACCAATTAACTAAATAATTTGTCATCTCCCATAATGCTTTATTCTCTGTTTTCCTCTAAACTGGATAGTAACCTGCAAAAATGACAACCTTTGGTTGAAGTAGCCCCAAAACTAATACTCTAGATGTTTTTATTTTTTTTACAGACATTGGTTCTTACTAAAATCAAGGGAAGCGATTACTCAGTAAAGAACAACTCTTATCAACCGTATTGTTTTCTCCGTTTCACGTTTGAGGTCAATAGGTCTGTACCTGTGAAATGTCCTCGATGTTGTTAAGATTAACTTCTGTGAGTTCAGGGTCGTTGTTTAGAGCTCGTTGGAGAGCGTCATCCACGACTGTCGGATTTCCTGACGTGTTACTGTCAGCAGGTGGAGGGGGAGGAGTCAGTCTAACAGGCTCCACCCTCTGAGGTTTCAGTAGGTTTGGAGTGCCGGCTGATAACGATCCAAAGTTATTGGACGGAGCCAATGTTGGTTTATTATTCTGTTCATCCTCATCTTCCTCCTCCTCCTCCTCCTCTGTCATCTTTTCCTCTTCTTCCGTGTCCTCTTCCTCCTCCTCCTCCTCCTCATCATCATCATCATCACTCTCTTCTTCTTCATCCTTGCTTGGAGGTTTTGTCAGTTCTTTTTCACTCTCGTCGTCTTTTTCTTCATCATCTTCACTGTTCTCCTCCGTCACACACTCTTCTTCATCTTCGTTCTGTATTTTGGAAAGGCAATATTTCAGATTACGCTCATTGTCTAACTAAATCATGGTCGTTTTAAGGTAATTGGGAGGATTTGGCTTTCATTTTAGTGGCAAAAACAACCTCTTACTGAAAGCTTTCAAGGTAATCTGTCCTAAGTTGCATCTGATACAGCTTCAAACGAGCTGACCTTGCCTGGGAGCACATTTTACAAATGCCAGGCTAATTCAATTTAACACCATCACTGACCAGTTTGGGACTTCCTCCTGCTATCTCGTCTTCCAACAGTCTGCGCGTCTCAGTCTCCCAGTACTTCATCAGGGCCTCTCTGCTGAAGGTGCCCGTCGGGGTCTTGTCTGTCTGGTCCCTCTGTCTGAGCCCTATAGGCACGTTGGCGTCAGGGTCGATGTCTACCAGCTCCTTCTCCAGCTCAGCCAACTCCTCCGGGGTAAGGGAGGCTAGGAGCTCGTCCTCGTCAACATCTTCGTACTTACTTAACTCCCGTCTGTACCCAAAGCAACTCATGGTTAAAGGGTCGAAAGCGGAGAATGTGACGACTCAGTTTGAACGGTCAGATTGATCAGCTCCTGAGCTGCATGTGAACTGGAGGTGTCAAAAATAAAGTGCGAGGATCCGGAGCCCAGAGGCAGAGAAAGTCCCAGGGAATCAAGGACATGCAGTAGGTTCCACCAAAGACTCCTCAGACAGAACGGTCTTTAAAAAGTACTTGGTCTAATTGAGGTGCTGAGAGTCCACTTTTGTCTGAAGCAAATCTCTCCTGACTGTCCACTGCTGTCAGAGAACAAGCACAATGTGTGTGTGTGTGTGTGTGGTCGGTGAGTGGGTGAGTGAGCCAGTGTCCTCTCACCTCTAATCTCCCCAGCTGCTGTTTTCAGGCCTTAAGAGAGGGATCAGAGGGGAACGCAGCAGAGTGCGCGCCCTGTGATGCAGCGTCTTTTTTTGGGTGATGGCGCTCTGAGAGACAGAGCCACAAAAAGCATGTGAGCTCAGAGATCGTTGCGACCTGTCATTGTAGCCGTCCGTCACCGCGCTCCCAGGGGCTTTGTCTATGACCAAAAAAGAGCAACTGGACCAGACAGATACATAAAAGCAGAAAGATAAACACAGATAGTGTATCAACCCAATAATGTCACGGACTTCATCTGTAAAACGTGGCTCCATTCTTATAGTCAGCTGCTGTGGATGGTCATAAATCTATTTCATATCACGCTAGGAGATAAAAACAAACGGAGGATGGATGGAGACAGCGGATGGCTCAGATGTTCATGGATGTTTCCGTAGGAATCTTTTTATTTTGTATGAAGACCAGACTGAGTTCTCTAACTATTTGTCAATAGTTAGCTCAATCGGCTCGTGATTGGTTTTGGTCTTTGCGGATCAATTATTATCGGATCTGGTGACAGGTTCTGACTGAATTTCAGTGATGTTTGATTTCCCCATTTCACCTTTTTAAGTGAGGGTCCTCGAAAAAAAACGTTTTCTAAGGAGGGTCCGATATTTGATAAAGTAAAAGTTTCAAACAAATCCAGTACTTTTTACTTATATGTTAACAACAAACCCGTCGAGGGTGATTTTATTCAATTACAGCCAACAAAAAAAGGGGGGGGGGGGGGGGGGGGGGGTCTTTAGGAGGGTTACAGTGGTGCAGTGGTAGGATTTTTGCTTACTGTGCAGAAATTCCAGAAATCATTTAGTCCCCAACTCCCTGCTCTGGAGACTGGATGAGGGGGAGGAGGGAGGGAGAGAGGGAGTGGCGGGTGAGCAAGTACGGCCTGTATATTACTATGCACACTACTGCAGTCAGAAGCCAAAAGAAGTGCCTAAAATGTACAATTTCAACAAAAGTAAGTTAGCAAAAAGAAAAAAAAATTAAATTAAATTAAAAACTGTGTTTAAAAAAGAAATCAGTAAAAGACATTTCAATGGCAGTTTAAAGTTTGCCAAAAAAAAGTTGATCTGTTTTTTGACAGGTTCAAACACCTTACTGTAAACTGTCATCCAAAGCATAAAATGTCTTCACCGATCCAGTTAATCCGTCAACAAAAGATCAACTGTTTAAAAAAGAAAACAAAGAAATGACTTGCCAGTTTTCTGAAAGTGAAATGTCCTCTGAACCATGGTTTGAACATGTCGCTGGTTTAGCCTAAGGCTAAGGTTAAAATACTTTCACAATATTTGACTGTTTCAAAGGATTACTGAAACTCACCTCTAATGACCTCAGCAGGTTGGCGGGAACACATTGGAAATGTTAGATTTCCAGCATTGATTTTGGAAAGCTTGACTTCCCAAACTGGTCGATCATATCGAAGCGTTTAAAAAAAAAAAGTGTATCTGCAGTTAGTCACTAACAGGTGGAAGACACTGAACGCAACAGAAACCACATACGGAGAAGTTTTCACTGCACTTTTTAAAAGTATAAGAACTTTCAGCCTTCAGAAGCACTGTTGAAATGAAAGGAGTTGATTTACAGCCCATTTTAGCTAACAATTGTATCTAACCTCCCGGCTTCTAACTAATAATATTCCTACCTTGCATCTGGTTTTTTGTAATGTCAGTACTTTCAGACTTCAGCAGATAAAAATATATTTGAGCAATCATTGAGCATAACGTTTACAACGCACATACTTTACATCAACATACCACTGTTGAGAAGCAGCCCCGTCATGACACGGTCCCTGAGGCGGCGCTGCAGATCTGTAGGAAACACCATGTTCACATCCGCTCCGTAGTAGAGCAGCAGCTGCACTGGCTCAGCCCTTAGCACAGATGTCAGAATTATTTTAAACACTGCACTTTTCTATGGTATCTGTAGATAATCATTCAACACACTTTAAAATATACCTAAGCAATATATATACTCTAGTTACGTATCACTTGGCTTGTACATTGACCAGGATGCTTCGCGGTGGTTCCAGGTCGGTTTCTCGCTCCAGCAGCCGATAATATCTCTGCGCAGGTCAGGTCAGTGTTAAACAGAGCGTTGTACTGAACTGTTTTCCTCAGGTCATTATAGTTTTCTGTAATTACATTTAGAAAGGATCAGTTGACAATGCTTCAGGCTAACATCAATAAAATTGACTGTATTGGTTTTTGTAGCAAATATCAATACAATTCACATCAGTTACATTTCTTATTTTATCACTATATCCATTATTGTTTTGTTTTTTTTTGCAGGTTCATACCTTATTTTATCACTATATCCATTATTGTTTTTTGTTTTTTTTTTGCAGGTTCATACCTCATATTTTATATTATATTTCTTTCACCTGTTAACATTAATCCGTAATTTCAGTTTACCTGTGCCTGTTTAGTTGTACACAACACTGATATATCTGTGGGACTTGAAAAACACAGAAAAATGTCTCTAACAGCCTCTCTCTTTTTCAAAAAAAGAAAAAAAAATCCAAATGCGTGCGTTAGTAACAGATGGCTGTATGTTTCTTCATGCATCATCCCTCGTGTTTCTGCTGCTCTCCGTCAGGACAAATCTGTTGACTGCCTATATAGAGAGCCTATATATTTTACTTTAACAACAAAATCCCAGAGTTAAGGGTTTGATTCCGTTGACCTGGTCACGGTCCACAAGTCTGTACCAAATTACTGTGTACATCCGGCTGAGCTATAGCAGAGCTGTGCGTTTGCAGCAGGGCATTGACATCATATCCTTTCTGTATAAGAAACTCCAAACACTCAACCCGTCCACCGGAGTGGACAGGGCTTTGGCCAGAGAGACGGATAGCTCTCTTTGTGGTGACGGGTATTAGAGTCCTCAAGGCTCTGCGGAAAGAGACACAGAGGGAGAAAGATAGATGGTTGTGTGGTGATTACAGTGTGGTTTACAGTGATGTAACTGAAAGGCAGCGGTAGACAGACCAGTCTTTGTAGGAAGGACTGGGGCAACAACGCTGCGCAGCTGTGGGCTGGATGTTTTGCAACTGCAAAATAGATGGAAATTAATGATAATTTGTTTTTGAGCAATTCTCTGATATTTTGAAGCTTTTGGCAGCAGACTGCTGCCACATGTCGAGTGACAAGATGACGAGTTGTCCCTTTCGGTCGCGCAGCTCTAACCAAATCTAGGCTTCACTCGCAGAACGAGTCCTACATGTGCGGCTCTGTGGATGGGCAGCTGGCAGGGGTCGCTGGCAGTGTTTGGTTTGGCTCCGTGGTGCAGGAGCAGCTTGATACAGTCCAGGTTTCCAGATCCTGATGCATCATACAGAACAGTGTCACCATTGCTGGCTCGGGCATTTACATCTCCACCTAGTGGGGGATGGGGAGAGTAAATAAAGGGAATACATTTTGTATTTTATTTGACATCCTGTATGCATGACCAAAACTTCGGTGTTGACGTTTAACTTAAGTCTGCCATATTCTCTTTTTTTTTTGTTTGTTTACCTTTGCGGCTTCATAAATGGCTGTCTTCATTGTTTTTTTACTCTAAGCCAGTGGTTCTCAAACTGTGGTACATGTACCACCAGTGGTACACAAGCGCTCTCTAGTGGTATGTGGAGAGAATTCATATTTTCACATTTACATTTTCAGTTGAATAAATCTGAAACATACCATGCACAATTAATACAACATTTAAACATAAACATCTTTATAAACAGTGAAGGCCTCTGCTGTTAATGTTGGTCGTCATGGTGGTACTGAGAGAGATCAATGTTTTCTCAGGTGATACAGAGAATGAAAAGTTTGAGAACCACTGGTCTAAGCCAATTGAGAGGAGTGTTTCAAATGACAGTCCTGGTTCATAAACAACGTGGTCCTGTGTGGCTACAGTGGAGAGTGCTTCAGAAACAGCAGTGATTGATTGTTGTACCTGTGGGTTAGCCTGCAGGCATCTCTCTGATGGAAAACGGCATCGGTTCTTCATTAATGGCTTCCTGTTTGGGTGCGTCTGTGTCTAAAAGGTGAACTAACAAATGCAGATTTAAGGGATTGATTTTTTTTTCTATTGTTTTTTTCCCTGTTTTTTCATCTCCAGTGAACTCCAGTCACTGCTGCACCACGGTTTCATTGGAACAGAGCAATTTCATCACATGCATAAAAACCTACATTACCTGTTTGATGGAAAGCTGTCTGCTGTATTTGCACAGCCTGACACTGGCTGAGTACTCTTACTGGTGTTTATGTTTTGTTACCATATTAACAAACTCCATGTAGCTGCAGCACTCCTGCATGTTTGCCCAGTGTTTCCCTAGAGACTGTTATTGATTTGATAATGGAAATCAATTATGGATAATAGCCTCTACATCAGTTTCACTTTTATCTGTCATGAGGAGATTATGCAACAAAATTACTTGTCAATGCCGGTGACGGGACAAGCTCTGCTTGTGTGTATTTTGTGTGTGTGTGTGTGACGTTGCTAGCTTGTGTGTATTTTGTGTGTGTGTGTGATCCTGACGTTGCTGTATTTGTGAGGACATTTTTTAACAGTATTCTGAAGTTTAGTATTAACTGCTTGAATTAGTTTGAGAAGAAGATGTAAAACAGGATTCATTGAAGTCAAGTTAGGGTAGGGATTAGGATTAGGCATATATTAGCATTAGTTAAATCAAGATAAAATGATAAGGTGGGAATTCTGTCTATGTGAAGTGCTCACAAATCACAAAAACAGTGTGTGCATACGTGTCTGCGTGTGTCAGACAACTGCTGACAACTTGTAGACATCGTCTGATAAACACACATGCAGTTATACATTCATTTATACATGGAAGTGCATGGAGACACATGCACATCAATTTCTAGGTCAAAGGTCACATCCACAAGTAGGTCTCAAATAAATAAATACAGCATATGTGTATGTATAAATATATGCATATATGTATGTAAACAGTGCATATACATATATTTTTATATATATGTAGTTTATATATGTGTTCACACGCAAGCATATATAAACATATATTAATGTATATATATATATATATATATGTCTATATGTAAAATAAATAGGAAAAATAAGAAATATGCACTGTAAAAATCGGCTGAAACAGGAGAGAATACAGAGATAGTAGATGGATGTACTTTCTTAATTGTTGGAACAGGTCTCTAATTGTTTTACATTCACTTAAAAAATAAATAAAAAAAATCAACAACTGGCAGAATAACCTCAACATCAAGGTTTAAAAAAAAGAAAAAATTCCCTGGTGAGAACAAGCGCTCGCTTTTTCCCCGATGAACAAATTGATATGTGGGAGTTCACAGATAGAGGGGAAAAAAACACACTCAGACACACAGACACACACACGGCGTCAGTGTGTGACACTGTGACTCAGCCTGTAGGCGGCCTCTCCACCACGTCAAAAGACTTCACCAATCTGTCTGGAGTGAAAGCAGACTGCCTGCCCATCCTCGAGTTTCACTCCATGCTCGAACGTTGCACACATCGCAGGGAACCGCACACACACTCACGCTAACACTCGTACACACACACACACACACACACAGAGAGAAGGAGAGATGAGCGTTGTCTTTGGACCAGGATCTTTAAAATTCATGCACTGGATTTGAGCAGCCACTGATTTTTGCTCCATATGAGGAAGAAAGTAAGTAAAAACTTTAGATCTTTATAAATGTGTTCTCCGAAGCTGTTTTACCTGTGACTACTGTTTGTGTGCTGATATGTTTATTTCTGATTGCATTCCTTCCCTAATGTGCATATGTATGTATGTCGTTAGGAACAACACTCATAGGGTTTAAAAAAAGAAAATGAAGACTTTTTCTTTCTCTATATTTCTCGCAAATACATAACATGTTTAGTGTGTTCAGAGGTCAATATATGGTCCACACACACACTTTCCTTTCACTCAATATATTGAACAGGGTGAATTAGCACGTGTCTGTCCGTCCCCCTCCTTCGTTCACTCCACTCCGAACACGAGGTCCTGCCCTTTAGCTCTAATGCAAATGTGAAGTCTTGACTCTAGTCTTCACTTTATCCACAATGGTTGTCCTTAATATCCTTATCTATGGATCTATCATCTATCTGTCTATCTATGGATCTATCTATCTATCTATGGATCTATCTATCTATCTATCTATCTGTCTGTCTGATCATCTCGCTGTGCTGGGTTTTGTGCAGCTTGGTTTTCAGCTGCAGTTGTGGCTGTTCCTGTTGCAGATTTGTTTTAATCCTTTTCAGTTCCTATTTCTTTTTAGTTGTCAAAAAATGTAAAAAAATGCACTCTGTCATTGCGTGTCGTATCTTGTTGCATTTTTAAATAGGTCAAAACTCAGTCATTGTATCTGTTGTTGCCATAAACTACAATTGTTAGCTTGTTTTTTTAATATGTGATTCGATGAATTAATATCATCAGCTTCAGTTTTGCTGTAGTTTCATTAATTGTTTTATTAATTAAGTACACGCATGATTATAGTACTCCTCCTTTATAACACCTTAAATGCGCTTTTCTGCGGTTGTGTGGAAACTCGTTCCTTGGGTTTTTGAGCAGAGAAAATGTACACGAATCACCAACGATTAGGTCAGCGTAGGAAATACCTCGAATATTTCTCATCCTCATTCATCACCACTCGACTGCACAACAACATCTAATGGTATCTTTGAGCAACATTGATGGATTATCAGCTTTACCTGCTCTGTAACTGTTGTATATATTTATATATTTTATTGTTTTTGCTTCAGATCTTGACAACACCTTGTCTCTTACTGAGTCTCTTCACCAGTCTGAATCTCTGCTCTGGGAAATTTGGGACGCCCATAACTGATGATGTGAGCAAGCTGACGCTGCTGGTGAGCTAAGTCATATATATATATGCAGATACACATATACAGCACATACATTACAGTATGGCTGTCATTCCAAAGGTCGCTGGGTCATGACCTCTGAACAACACATAAAAAAGGGGAAAAAAATTCCAACCTTTACAGGTTGGAATGTCAGTTGGATTTTTTTTTGTCTATATATTTATTGTTATATTTGAGGAAAACATTACTGTTATTATACTTGAAGGAAATTGAAATTTACACATATATATTTCTTTGTCTTTATTGCAGAAGCAGAATATCCCCTCTGATTATGAAATTCCTGTTAGTTACATTCCCAAAGAAGTGGTAGGTATGAAGCTGTTGGAGCAGAAATATCGTGTTCAATATCCAACTAAATGAAGCATAACTATTATTATTTTAATTCCGTCTGTTTTTAGGCTGACACCTGCTGGGTGGTGCTAAATATTTATCCCCTGGAGCAGAGTCTTCGTAAGCTGGCCAATATGTTTGGCACCATCTCCTCCAACAAAGAAAACATCATCGTCTTCATCGCCATGTTGAAGAGCTTACGCTTCACTTTTGATCACGAGGAACTGGTAAGTGGGGCTGTTAGCTCGAGCGCTAACAGTTAGCAGTTGTTGTTTCACATGTAAAAAATTGCCTAATGCAGTGATCTCAGAGCCACTTGTGGTCTGTTGCTCCAGGAAACGTCCATGCAGGTCTTCCAGTGTCATTACCAGGAAGGGAGCCTCATGTCTGGCCTTTATTTCGACTACATCAAAGAGGTCTTACAGGCTGCAGCTCAGGAGACGGCCGCAAACTTCTCGTGCAAGCCGCCGCCTTGTCTTAATTCTCAACAAACACCAGGTGCAGCAATCATTTGCATTTATGATTTTTATTTGGCAGATCGCCACGTAGGAAAACGTCGTGTGGAAATGCAAACACAGGCTGACATTCAACATGTCTTTAACTATATTAATAAAGTTTCTGTAAGCAGTTAATACTTGGCAGAGCTCTCCATGGTAATCAGTAGCTAGCAGAACAAGAGGCAGTGTCAACAAAACGAGAAAAAAAAAAGAAAAAAGAACAAAAAACTGGTCCGACCTGAATCCTCTGTAGTGGTAGATTTTCTAACTCTCAACTATGTACTCAACTAAAGCTACAATAATATGTTGTCCCACCAGGAGGTCTGGAGGACACTCGGACGTCCAACTGGACCAAGAGAATGCCTTTGCTTCTGGTTCTGATCCCATTCACAGCCGCCGTGGTTCTCATTGTGTGGCTGGTGAGTGTAATCGACCAACACTGTGACTCCAAATCTGCATGACTGTTTTTATCAGTTGTGGCCCACCACTCAAATTCATGTGGGCCACACTTGGTATGAACCTATACTAAATTACTGATTACTATTAGTAAAGTCTATTAGTACAGCCAGTCAGCTGTCCATCACCAGGGTGAGATTTACGTGTGCTGTGAACCTATACTAAATTACTGATTACTATAAGTAAAGTCTATTAGTACAGCCAGTATAGCCAGTCAGCAAAACAGTGTTTTCCAAACTTTTTGTCTGGGGAACCATATTTCTTTAAAGTCACAAAGCGTCGAGATCCAAGTCAATAGACATTATTCGTAAACTCCTGGGAAACATGATGCGAGACAACCCAAAACAAATCTCTTGTGACCCACCTGAGGGTCACGACCCACTCTTTGGGAAACAATGCTGTAAAAGATCACCCTTAGTTTAACTTTTTTTTTTATTATTAAGACCAGATTAAATACTTAATTTCTTTATATTTACACCGCAAAATAGAATCCTAGTTTACAATTTTTTTTTGGATGTTGCTGTAACAGACAAATAACAGCAGGTGGATTTATGTGTTTCTCACCTGTTTCTATTTGTGACTAATATACACTGTAGAATTATTAATACGGACAAATGTCAAAAAAAAACAACCTACAAAGCTAAATTTTGCTTCATAGATTTCATGGAGCAACTACAATAATGCATTGACAGTGGAATTATGGGATATGGAGTGCGCATTTTTCTGCCCATGCTTTAAAATATGTTACGTTTGTTCTGGGTAATTTCACAAATGAAAAAATGGCATTAACTCGTTAATGTTGACAGGCCTGGTTTTTTTATATTGGAGCGGTTGTTTTTTTAAATCAACAACACTTTTCCTCAGGGTTAAGTTGCAGGAAGACAGGCAATTTCACACATTATATATTTATAAATGGACTAATTTCTCGTGACCGGTTGTGTGATATAGATGCCATTTTTGTGAGACAATCCATCAACCACATTGACTGTGTTGTATGGTCTCTGCGGGAGAATCTTCTAGAACCTTCACGATGCTCGTGAGGACACTCCCTTGTTTTAGTGACCACTTCCAGGAAATAGATACTTGAAAAGTTAATAACTGCTCATCAAATATTCAGCAGTACTCGGAGGCTCTGTCTGTTACTCCCTAATGATGTCGGTCTCTGGAGATTCATCATGTCGTTGGTCCATGATGGAGAACAGGATAGAAGTGATTTTTTTTTTTACTTTCTCTATTGTTTGTTTCTAGGTGAAGTCCAGGAGACGTTTACCGCCGTGCAGCTCTGAAAATAGCCAAGCGACACCTTCTGACATGGTTCCGAGTGTGTCTGTCTCCATTCCACTTCAGACACTCGCCCACGCTGCAGACACTCAGCCAGCGGGGGAGGCCATCCCTGAGGATGAAAGTGGATGAAGTACAAAATTATAGTATGAGGACAGGGAAAACTCAGACAGCAGTTACACAACTCTTTCTCCTGGCTGCACTGTTATTGGCCAGAGTCTGTTGGACGCACACTTTTGCGGATAAGAAAGGTTTCCCATCTGAGAAGACGGCTGTGTCACTGATCTCCTCCGGCATTCCCAACACCTGATCACACATCGAGGGAAGCACAGCAACAGCTGTTTTTTTCTGCCCAAAATGGTTGACATCCTCTCGCTCCGGGCTGTGTTGAACTGCACTTTTATGGCTTGGTGTGAAGAGAACGTACTAATATATTTTCCATCTCCTCCAACTTGGCACTTATGACATTAAAAGTGCTCCCAGGTTTTGAGCAGCAGTCAAAAGTATGACGGACGCCATTTTACCCCGAGGTGGGATTCTTGTTATTAACTGCGTCCTGGTGGTGACAGACCATCCTGTCCTGTCCCTGCTGCAGCGTCAACACATCCTGTGCCTGTTTAATGACTCTCTGCTGAAATGCATTATGGGCAAACAAACAAAGAAAAAGAGAAAAAAACTGAAGCGCAACAGCGGCTCGTCTTGTACTTGTTGTTGAAATTATTATGATCTGTGATCTGTCGCAAATTGTGAATCTGCGAGTCACAAACAACACACTGAGCAGCTCAACAAGTGTCCTGCTTTGTGCATCACAGATCTGACCAGATGGCAGATAGCCATCGCCGGAGGCACTTTGAATCCCCTCATTGTATCTGAGAGCTGTTGCCCAGTGATCTGTCGCTGCAGCCCGGCCACACTGAGTGTGTTTGAGTTTTTAATGTCTCATTCACTGAGTCAATCACGGTCAGTCATGGGAAGATGACTCCCAGAGAGAGCGAGGGCTGATGTGCTGTATGTGTCAGAGAGACAGGGACCAGAGCGGAGGAGGGGCAAGATGGGAGAAAGTAAAGGGAAGATAGGGACAGATAGCTGGACGGACGGACGGACGGATGGATAGATGGATGAGCTCAGCCAGAAGCATAAGGAGGGTTTGTTCTTGTCACAAAAGAACAGGGCCGTAGGCTGTAGGAAATGCCAGTTACAATCACGACTGATGTCGGCAGTTCCCTATGAATCAACAGGCTAAGAATCTTTCCAGACTGCAGGCGATAGTAGCCTCAGCTGCAGAGGATGGTTAGTATTTCAATAACAATTTTCTGTACTCGAGTGATTTACTTCCAAACCACATCGAAGACACGACGTGGTTAAAAAAAATGCACCTACAGTAAACTGAAATGTTTCATTGAAATGAAGTCTATAACTTATAACTGATGCTTAAGTGAACAGACCAATGTGTATTGTATGGTTTTTTTTATTCTACATTGTGAATATGAGCATTTGTAAATGTGTATTTGTACTGTATATGAAATATATTTAACTTATTTTGTTACGAGATAAAAAAACAACAAACAAATAAATGTGATTAACTCTTTCCGGAACAATGTGGAGGACAAAAAAGTGTGGACACTCAGGGAATATAAGGTGTTACTGTGAGGCCAAACGTTCCAAAAGATGTGTTGTATTAACTTAAACAGATGACTTAACCAAATCACACTTTTTATTTTAAATGTATCGTTTACTCTAAGTACTTATCCGGATTTGTGGATTTTTGGAGGATGGAGCAGTGAACATGTCTCTGCTACCTGTTATTGTGAAATTCACATTGAAGTTCAGTGGACCCTCGGACATCGTAGAATTCAGACCTTGATAAAAAAGTTCAGTTTTACCCCTAAAGAATAAAGAGGGTGCATTAGTTCCATAATTCAAAACAAAGATGTTCAGATCACGGCAACCAATGTTGCCAAACAAGTGTCTGTTTAGTGTCTAAGCAAATACTGCAAATAAATGAAGAAATGGAAAAAAAATGAGTGTTCATCTTTGTCAGTAAGACTCAGCCAAAAGCAAAGTACAGTGTGGTTCATCATTGGAAGGCGGCGAGTGCTGATCACCACCACCAGGGGACTCCCAAACAACGATTTCCATCCTACGTGGCCATAAAACTCACTTCCAAATGGTGAATAATATAAACTTGTCAGAGTTGGGGGTCTTGGAAAGGGATTAAAGTTGTCTATATTATTTCCTATGGGGGACACGTTTCGGATCTCGACCAATTTTGTCCTTGAACTGCCCTTTGGAAGGAATTGTGTTTTAGGTCCGAGGGTCCACTGTGTTTGACATTACTTTGTATCCTCCCTGCCTTTACTCTGTGAGAATGGTGTCAATGTTGTGTGTACTCTGATAGTACCAGGTCAGTAATGTAATATACGGTATATATTAAGGTTGAAGTTACTCTTTGTAGAACGGCTCCAGGTTAAACACCTGTATTTTCAGGTATTCATAAAACAGATATGAAGGGGTCCACGTCATGGACTGATTTTTAAAAAATATGACAAAATCAATTAAAAAGTCACCTCTTTTTTTTCATTGCAGATAAAAATGTATTACTATTGCACATCAACATTATTGTACCAGAAGGGTATGTAAAATATCACAGTTTTCATAGTAAAATGAACTCATTTACAATTCAGTATCTGCTCCAAAGGCAAGTATACATTTAAATCTGCTTCTGCTTTAAGTAGACTTTTGTAAGACAAAGTGAAAATATTTACTGTTGCAATTTTCTGCTTTATTAAAAATTTGAGCTGCTCAACAGTGCGTTGTCACCCTCGTCTGATTCTCCTCTTTGTGATGGGACATGGATTTTGGCCAGTTAAGTACATGCAACATCTTCACATTATATTAAACATGTGGGTGTTACATAGTAAGAACAGTGCAAGGGTATGACTAACATTACCTTTTTAATTTCACATTTTCTTTAATTTCTACTTTTTGGGAGTAGGATGCATTCTTGGAAAATAGGTATATAATTATTTTTAATTAAAAAGACCTTTAACTTTGTCCATCTGCCTTATAAACTGAGGACTGAAGGAACTAATAAACACGGACAGCACATATTTTATAGGTGATATACATTTGTGTATAAATTCTAGATCAACATTTGTAATAATAGTTATTTGGCGTGCAGTTCTTAATCTATCTTACATTTGTGCGTTTCTTCAACTCCGCTTCAAAACACCAAGCTTTTAATTTGTAAAAAGACATCCGCCGGATATATTTAGACTTTTGTTTTGGAAAGCCGCGGTTTAGCGGTCGCCATTATTCTTCCTGGCTTGACGCTACGGAGAATAACTTTAAATTACTCTATAACCATATAATTTGTGCCAATTTGCAAAATTTCCAACAATCACTTATTACGTTATCGATTGAAATGCACTAGGGACAAACGCCGAGTACAGAAATGGAGAAACGTTCCGATACAGCAGGTAGGTTGCTAAGCTAACTTTAGCGAGCTAACATTTACTGTCGCCGAGAACGACAGCTCAGGAAATAAGACGCAACATGTGCCAAAGAAAAACGATCGATTCGGCTCAGGAACGTGCCTTCGTGCACAATATCCATATAACCTACAAAAACGTCAGCAAATCAAGGGCCAATTTGGGAGATAACTGTCTTTATCGAGTCCTTTTGGTTTCGAAATAAAACAATGTATATTCCGGATGCACTAATCCACCGCGTCTGTGTCGTTGACAGTCTGTTAAAAGTAACTCATAAGATAAAGTGCTCTTCCACTTCCTTCTGCTAAACGTTCGATTCTTGTTTTTTCACTTTGGCGCTCATTCTCTTCTCCTCGCGGCCGTACATGCACACGCACCGGCGTGCACGTTTATTTAAATTCAAATTGTCAGCACCATCAAACGCAGCGTTTGAACAACATCGCCCTCTATAGTTGCTTCTGTCTCCACCTTATCTGCAGAGAAATGTCCTGTTTTAAAAAAAATAAATGTTATAAATGAATATATTGTTTAACGAATTATGAATGCCTTATATCATATTGTTAACAGACTGGAATGGTAGTGAACCGGGTGTAAGCAGACTACTACAAAACATGAAGCCCCACGAAGAAACCAGTTTAAGATGAAAAACATATTTATTTGCGTCACAAAAGGAGTATTTTCAATCCAATATTGAAAGTCAAAAAACATTCGGTGAGAAATGCTTAGGTCTAAAGTTGTCCAGAAAATAATAAAATAAACGTTCCCACAACTAGTTCTCACAAATAAAGTTGGTTTAAAAATACATCAAAATATATAAAGAATAAGAGCATACGAAAATAACATATTTAGCCAAATTAAAGGGAAAAAAATTGAATATTTTCTTTTAAAGTATTTGTGGCAAAGATTGACAGAAGTTATTCAAAAGTGAAAGATGCCATTAAAAACATAACACAAAAAATGAAAATGTATTATAATGCAATAACTGACCTGTAAAAATATTTAGTACAATTTTCTTTTTTAAATATCCACAATGATTTGCTCTCTTGACACGTTTCATTAAAGAAATTATTTAGCTTGGAAGTATTGTTGCGCTAACTGTAGGTTCTATATAATAACCAGATCTTATTTGGTTACCAATGCGACTTTTGCAGCCACAAGTCAAGGTACAAATGTATTTCTTTCAAACTCGCATTAACTGCGTGTCTGTTTTTAACAGGTCTGGCGGGAGGCCTTCCTCTGTCCTCCCTCCGTTTGATGGCCTCTCCTCTGCAGTTCACGTACTCTTTCATATGGCAGGTGTTGCGACAGCGAAACATAAAGCAGTATGGTAAAGTGGAGGAGTTTGTCACCATGGTGACTCAGACTCTTCCTGACCTCATGACTTCCAAGCAGACCGCTCAGCTCATTCTAGGAATCAGAGCAAGGGTGAATTTTATGTTTTATGTATCAGTGTGTGTGTGTATGTGTTGGTGTGTTTGAGTCTATTGCGCTTTGTGTAAACAACACTTGGCAAAACAGAGGCACTAAGTGGGTTGAGCCAAAAGTTTTTATACTTGTTTTATACTTGTTAGTAGCATGTGTCAAGTAGAGCAATTACACTAGTATCATATGTGTAATTTCTGCTCCACATCCTAAGGTTAAGCAAAATATATTAATTTAAGAAGATTTTTTTTTGGAAGAAATTGAAATAACACTCAACAACACAGTGAATAAAGTTTTGTTTTAGCTTTTGAACTCTACGCCTGTCCTTTCCCATTTGTAGATCATTCTGGATTTGCTTCAGAAAGACGGCCCACCTGATACACGAGCGATTCAAAATCTCATCAACAAGTTAAAAGTCTCTCCTGCTTTAGGGGTGAGGATTTTCTCCTTGATCTTGTCAATCAACACTTGTGGTTTGGCAGTTTTAGAACTAGACAGGAGTTTGACCTTTGTATATTCTCATCGTTACAGAAGAACGCAGAAGTGGAGGAATCTCAGACGAATTTCATGGTGCTTGTCCAGAACCTGCTAAAAAGCCCTGCTGAGAGGAGGCGCTTCTTCCAGGTAGACTCGAGCATCTTCCATCACCACTGGAGCCATTCAACAAATCCACACATTAACGATGAAACAATACCTGAACATTGCTGGAGAAAGTATTGTTACAGACACTTACTTTTTTTGGTGAAAAGGCAATCAAAAAATAGCATAGCATAGCAGTGCAATGTAACCAAGGCGGTGTTCTTAACCTGTGCTAGTTGCCACCGATCACCAGTTCTGCGACTGTCTCTAAAGGTCTTTAGTGTTCAATAAGTGTGTGTTACTGTATAAGTGTAATTTTCTATATGTTCTATTTATGCTATTCAGATTCCTGGGCACTACTCCGTTACTCCATAACTGGAGCTTCTGCATAAAATAACAACACTAGAATGTAGCTCCTCGCACCCATTACATCCACAACTATTAGATACTAACAAATTTGCTAAGAACAATAACATAATAATATAATTTGAACTTTATTGATCCCAAAACTGGGGAATTGGCTGCCCCTTGGAGGCGCCAAGTATGTAGTTTCCACTAGGTATTGAACCCAGGACTATCTGCACTAAAGGCAGACGTGCTAACAGCTACACCATAGAACCAAAAAAATTGGATTTTTCTAAGTACTATTTCAATTAATATTTAAAAGTATTCCTTTTTTTTTTACAAATGTAACAATTAAATTAGTGCATTTAACAGTATATGGGAGAAACACTTTACTAATGTATCTATAACATTACTGTGTCTTGTGTTTGTCTCTCTGTAGGACGTGTTTCCTCTTCGGTATGGCACAAAGTTCGACACAGCTCTGCAGACTCTAGCTGCAGGCCTGGTGTGTAAGCTGGAGCAACTCCTCCCTCCTCCAAACCTGTCCCAGGTACAGTCTTCAGTTATTACTACCAGCATGACCAGTTAATGGTGCGATAACAAAACCATGGGATCGATAAAAACTCGAATGACACTGGTTTGGTAATATGTATTTGGAAATATAAACATATACATCTTCAATTTCCCACCTATTTTTGCAGCTTGGTGCCATGATCTCAAGTGAGTCCAGTGTCCTGGATGCCTGTGTGAGTTTGATCCCTGAACCCAGAGACCTCAGGGCTCTGCTCCTTCACCAGCAGGCCAAAGGACTCATGGGTGGTAAAGGTATATATTTTTAGACATGTTTTTAACATGGATATGATTGAATCTGAATGCAGTGATAAAAGTGTTTCCGATAGTAAGGATACATGTGAGGTAAAGTGTTTTATCTCTGTGCAGCCACTATCTCCACCTCAGTGGGGGACTGCGTCCTGTCTTCGCTGGCCTTCCGTCCCAAACCCGTGGAACCACCACCACTGCCGCCGCTGCCACCACAACCAATAGAGTCTCCAAAACAACTGGAAGTCACCTTCACTACGACAACACCAACCTCCCTCAGCGACACTGAAGACTTGGGAGTGATGTCAGACGACTCGGACCACGCCGAAGTCGCTGCGGAGGGGGCACAAACGCAGCTGCAACTGAGCAACGAATCAGACAACAGCGCTGCTGCTGTGACCGCGGAAGTGCAGGACCAGGAGAAAAGTCTCGAACAAGAACCGGAACCTGAGACTCCACAAAATCAAGCAGATGGATCAACGGCCCCGCTGGAGAAGCCGGATCTGCAGCGTCTGCCCTTGAAGACGATCCCCTTCAGGGTGGTTCAGGTGCCAGTCAAAACTGCCTCCGCTGCGCAGAACACGGGCAGTGCGGCAACTAAAGATGGTCAAAAGTCCAACACTCAGAGAGTCACGCTGCATCAGTGGGTGTCACACATGGCCACCAACTCGCTCTCACTTCCGGCTTTGCCGCCACTTCCTCCGCCCAGTCTGAGTGGAGATTTTAGCCTCAGGCCGAGGATGAAGAGGAAAAAGCAGCTCCGGCCTCCGGCGGACCGCTTCTCCTGCAGCTTGTGTGACAAAACCTTCCCCTATCACTCCAAGCTGGAAGACCACCAGCGCATACACACGGGGGAGAAGCCTTTCATGTGCACGGCGTGCAACAAAAGCTTCCGGACGCAGGCGTTCCTCAACACACACCTGAAGACTCACAGCGCGGTGCGCCCCTACGCCTGTGGTCAGTGCGGCAAGTGCTTTTCCAAATTCCAGAGTCTGAACAAGCACATGCTCGCCCACAGCGGCCAGAAGCCCTTCTACTGCAACATCTGCAACAAGGGCTTCACACAGTCCACCTACTTCAGGAGACACATGGAGTGTCACACCAGTCAGGTGACCTTCATCTGCAAACACTGCAACAAAAGCTTCCCCACGGCTTTCAAGCTGTCCAACCACGAGCGCTGGCACACCAGAGATCGCCCGCACATGTGCGAGCGCTGTGGGAAAAGGTTCCTCGTCCCCAGCTTGCTGAAGAGGCACATGGGCTACCACATCGGCGACCGTCAGTACCTCTGCTCCCAGTGCGGGAAGACCTTCGTCTACCTGTCTGACCTGAAGAGGCACCAGCAGGATCACCTGCCCAAACCTAAGATCCCCTGCCCCGTGTGCCAGAAGAAGTTCTCCAGCAAGTACTGCCTGAGGGTCCACATGAGGATCCACACCAGGGAGAGACCCTACCAGTGCTCCATCTGTGAGAAGACCTTCACTCAGGTGGGGAACCTGAAGGTGCACATCCGCCTGCACACCAACGAGCGTCCTTTCAGCTGCGACGTGTGCGGCAAGACCTACAAGCTCTCGTCCCACCTGAACGTGCACAAGAGGACACACACCTGCAAGAAACCGTGGACGTGCGAGACGTGCGGGAAAGGCTTCACCGTACCCGGTCTGCTGAAGAAGCACGAGCAGTTACACACCAGGGACAACAACCCCGACTTCTCTGGCAAACGCAGACACAGGACCAAACACAAGAAGCTGTCACTCAAGAGGAAGTACGAGGAAGAAGAGGAGGGAAGTGATGATTATTAATCAATCAGCGCGACGGCTTTTATAACAGGAGGCTCTGAACTCTGATGTTGCTGATCATGTTCTCCAACACATCAGAACTGCTGCATCTGCCCCGACTGTGGAACACCTCAAACCTTGCCACGCCTTTGTTGTGATGTCATCTGCAGTAGGCAAGTCAAACTTTTTAAACGTTGTTCAGTGACGGCCTTTAGGTCGCAGAGCTTTTCTTTCTTATAAGCGCAACACATTTCATTGTATTACAATTAAGACTAAACAAAATTTGAGCAGCGTCAGTTTAGGGAAATGTCATCGCTGTTCCTTAAAAAACTGCCCTTGAAATTCATCTCACGGGAGCTTTTTAATCTTAACACAGGATACGTTAGTGAAGCTCAACTTTAACTAATCTCTCAATGCCAGCAGCTGTCCAACTATGTATATAAAATATCTGCACTGAAAGATATTGATGTAGAAATAGGCCCACGTCAGTTTTATCGGCGCTAGCCGCTAAGACGGTAACTGCTCACTCTGCAGTTTGACGAAGTTGTCGAAGGCCTGTCCAATCAGGAACTGCATCGAGACAGTTTCTCAAAACTTCCCTGGAAAGGCGATCCAGAAAATGTACGTCATATTTTGCTAAGCAAAGTTATCAATGCCAATCCCGTCAGTCTGTCAATTCTTAACCTTTAATCAGCAGCGAGATCAATAAAAAAAAAAAAGTTAAAATATGCTGTTCAGGATGAAGCCCATCGTTTGGCTGCTCTTTTTAGAGCAGAACATTCACCATCACAGCCTGACTTTACCTCCTGCTCTACTTACGTCCATCGTGGTCCGTTTTTATATCACTGCTGTATTTGCTGGAATCGCAGCTGGTACAATATGAGAAAAAAAAAACACAAAGTAGCATCAAAGCAATTGAATAATTTTCTGGTCGTTTTTTATTACGCAACATTTTTCATTTTCATAGTCAAAAAGTGCACTGGTGTGGTTTTTTTAAATCTTGTCAATTCCCGCAGACGTGTATAGTTAGACCCGGGCGTCGTCTGAACAAAAGTATAAATGCATGAAACTGTTCCCGGTCTGTAATCTAGTCGCTGTGTTTTGCTTAGAAATAGTGTGTTTTCATAGTTTCACCTTTGCTTTGTTGACATAAATGTGCTTGTAACCTTAAAAGTATATCCATAACAGTTACTCTACTTTTGGTTTAGACTTAAAAACTCAGTTATTTCACTTATATTTGTTTATATCTGTGTGTACAGAGACTGTGCTGCGGTTCAGATCTGTACTTTTCCTTTTGTACTCCCCCATGACCTCTGGGTCATTGTGCTGTCGTCAGTATGCAATCGTTGTTTTACAGACAAATAAACACTGCAATTGCATTGCAAACAACGACCTCTGCTGAGTGACATGTTTCAGCTCAGTTGAACGCGACAGCCTTATAGGAAAAACTGTGATTTTCATTATAATATAAAGTTAAAAAAAACAAGTGGAATCAAGATCATTTTGAGTCCAATTTCAAAAGAACAAGAACATTTTAAACCCCACACCTAAAAGGGTTTCGGTCGGGTGAATCCAAACCAGTGACCTTGCTGTGCGTTGACCTTGTCTTTCACCAACCCCTACTGCCATGTTTTGTCTTGAAGGCGTCGGTCCTGGTGGCTCTGACCTCTAGGTTATCGCAGTGAAAATCTGTCAAAGGCTTGAACCTTCACAGCACTTCAGATCTGCTGCACGTGGAAGTCATTACCTAAGGTTTTTGAGGCGACTGAGTTTGGATTTTTTTTTTAACTAAAATAAATAGTTAGTTGAGATTTTACCCCCCACTATGCAGCACATAAGAACCAAGAAATCAGCACCATGGTCACTGAGTTCAGTCAGGAAAAAAAATACACGTACAACGTCGTTCAACCCAGTCCAGTGAGTGACCAGTGCTCTTGCCTTACAACAAGGAGGTCAGAGTTTCAACCTCAGTTTGTAATTTGCCGTCAGGTGCTCTAGTTCCATAAACATGTAGGATTGGGTTAATTTTTAATTATAAATTGACCACAAAGTAGGTGCGAATGTTTTTGTTCATGTGGAAATGGTGAACTGACCACGGTGTATCCCACCCTCACCTGAGGTCCTGGAACCTGGACGAGGATTGGACTACGTGACAGAAGATGAATGAATAAAGTTAAAAAATCTCACAGTAAGTAAATGCAATGCAACACTGGAAATTATATGTCCCAAAATATCATTACATGTGCAATGCAACATGAAACTTTTTTTAACTCTTAAACGCTTTTTACCCCTGAATATGTCCAAAATATTATTATGAGTGCAATGTAACAAACAAAAATAACATGTTAGTGGCTGTTGGGCAAAGGTACACTTTTTAACAGTAACTATAACTACAGAACAACTTAATACGTAGCACTTGAAATGATATTTTGAGCAGATGAGTCAAATAACTGAACTCAATTACCCCCAACTCCTTTACAAGTTCCTGCATATGTCAGACAAAACATGTAACTGCCTTACTTTTATATGCAGCATCGATACACTGCTGCCTGGTGGTGTTTTAAAGAAGATAACGTAGTGGGGAAAAAATGTTCAAGCAGTAAGTTACCAGATACCAAAATCAACATGGGTCCAGTGACTCACAACTGCTCAAAGTTTAACTTATTTTGTACATCTCTGTTTATCTGTCACCCCGGGCAACCGAAGCAATACTTGAAGACAGACCCTGTGTTTTGGTTACTCAGTAGGACAAGCTCCTCAGTTGAGACACAAGAGTCAGAGGTCAATGCAGAATCTTTCAAGTCTCCAATTAGGGCAGCATTCCTCCCCTAACTCTCTTAGTGCTGCAGGGGTCACTGAGGACGTCCATCACCTACAGTCACCTCATGTCACCCCAGGTCACAAGCTAAAAAATAATATGCTTCAAACACAATGTCACAATGTTGGTAGTTATTTCTTTCTTTATTGATATTGTTCACCACTGGGAACTGAAAAAGAAAATGTACTTTTTCTTAGCTACTATATAATCACTGATGTGTAAATTCAAGTAATCCCCCCCCCTTAATCACTGATGTGTAAATTCAAGTAATTAACCCCCCTTTTTAAGGGGCAAATATGTCAGTTCTGTGTAACGACAAAAACATAATTCTGAATAGCTAGTTTTTGTGCCTTTGAAGGAAGACGCCTCGGAGTAACCATGGCAACGGATGAGCAGGAGAAGAAAACTCTCCAGAACAAAGTCAGAGCTACGACTGGACCTGGATGTTTCTCAGTGGTCAGCGGTAAAACTTGTTACTTTACTAAATCTTTATTTTTATATCATATATTTTAATATTATTTTATATGATATTATATATATTTTTATATTATTAGGTAGAGACACCAAAGTGGCGCTGCCTCACTGGCTCCTGTTCGTTTAGCATCGCGCTAACTGAGCACCTGTGTTTAGCTTCCGGGTTGTACATGATTCTCACACACAGGTAGAAGTGGTAGCGACCCGGTACAGGGTAATGGTACATAAGGAGTAGGCAGGCACTTGTGTGTACCAAATATGTGTACGTTTAAATTTAAATTCTGCTTTCCACAGAGTGCGTAAACCCCACTTTACACTCCTTTCCTTCCCCTACTTCCTTTCCTTCTTCCTATTTCCTGTTTTATTTTGAAGGTCCTCTCCCCTTGATATCACCTGTGTCCAATCAACTGCTGGGTTAAATCTCTGCGCTGTTTAAATGTAATTTCAACTGATTTATGCTCTTTGTTTGGATTACTTCTCTCTTTCCTCCTGCCGCTACATTTGTGAGTATTTTAACCATTGTTTTCCCTTTTCTGTCACTTTAACTCAACTGTTGAGTTTGAGTTTAAATGTTTGTTTTTAAGGACAGCTGGGTCCTCATTTTAACAAACATTTTGTACGCAAAAAAAGCTAAGACACATAGCAGCAGGTCAAGACACGGTTCTTCGGTGTTAGCTAGTGTTGTATTTCCTTTGGTCAGCTTTCCAAACCTCAAAGAAATCAAAGAAAATTCAAATGTTTAGCCAAGCTTGAATCGAAACTCTGTTAAAAATCTTTCAATTTTAGCAGCAGTTACTGATCCAGAACATTTAAGAGGAACTCAAAAGCAGACTGTGACCTGGTTTACTATAACAACTTGTATGAAAAAATTAAAAGATAGATTTTTATTAACTTTGTATTTGAGCAAGTGAATCAGAGAAATGCTAATTTATGCAGGCTAAAATGCAGATACTGACAGAGCTGGGTGGTTTCTTTATGTGACAAAAGTTGTTTATTGTCTGTACAAACTGTGACCTCATCAACTGTGGCTGGTTGACATTGGTAGATATTGACCATGTTTCTGGTTGACTTACTCTGATGTTTTGCTTCACTTCTCCAGGTTTAGGGAAAGTGTTAAAGAGAGAAAAAAGACACTATTCATGTGGATATAAAACATTTATTTTCATTAAATTATCAGCATATACTGCTTAATGTTTTCTTTTTCTTTTTTAATCTAACCCTTCCAAATGTCAGTATTTCTATACATGTCAGTGCTGCAGAACCCAACCATGAACAAGAGCGATGTGATATATTTCTTTTGTTTTTCTTCACGGAATTAAATAGTACCAAAAAAACATCAACAACACCCAATATATATAAAAGCAATTTATAGTGATGAAATATGGGTGTCATAAAAAATTAAACAAATGAGCCCACAGTAAAAACAAACTTGATTTTACACAAAAAAGTTTTCACTAGTTAAAGACGTTGCGTCGTCCCCGGTCATTTTTATTTTTTCCTAGGTCTTTATCCCGACTCGTCTTTCAACAAAGATTTCTGGACTGGTGGAATTTCTTGCAAACCAGTGTCCGCGACGCCATCAGCAGATCGTTTCCGCTGCATTTTCTCTGACAGCCACATGGAGAATGCCGACACCCCCAAAATAGTGGCAGTGGTGATGAACATGATGGCAGTGCAGAAAGGGAACAATCGCTGCAGGTGACCGTCCTCTTTGACTTTGTCCCACGGTAGAGGCAGGACGTCAGGGAGACTAAGCAGTGGTTCTCCGACCAGAGCACGCAGGACCATGGCCACGACGAAACCAGAGCAGGCCCCGTAGTGGTTCACCCTCTGGGGCAGAAACAAGGTGCAGATCACCTGCGGCGTCATCATGGAGTACATCACATCTGTACTGATGATCCAGAACAGGTGGATGGACGTTGACACCAGGGCCAGACAGGTTCCAATGATTCCACACAGAAGCACCGACACCTTCACCACCACAAGGATACACTTCTCTGATGCCTGTATTTAAAAAAAAAATAGTGAACTTAAGTTATAATATCCAGAATTTAATGGCTGCTTTTATTTATTTTTAATCTCAAGAAATTGAATATTCAGTGTTTATATACAGATTTCTGTATATAAACACAGATCATCTATCTCTCCTCCTTGACCTGCAGGGGGCGATATTAACAGCAATTACAATTAAATGTCTGTAGTGGAAATTTCATGGTTGTGTCTGTGGTGCACCATATTACTACAGTACTGTAGTTGGTCAAGGTGCTCAGTACTCCCTGTACTCCCTGTACCACGTGGTTGCAGTATCATCGTAAATACTTCCTCGCCTTTTTGTAAATGATGTTCTTGAAGACATTTCGTCCCAGCATAGAGGCGGCAGACAGGAGAGCCGAGTCGACTGATGACATGACGGACGCGGCGAGCGCTCCCACACCTGCCACTGAGATGAAGTAGGGGCAAAGATGCTGAAGGGCAATTGGCAAGATCATACCAGTTTGTCCTCGCTCGTGTGGGCTGGGGGAACCGTAGCTGGTCTGGTTCCAGTCTGAGAGACATGGACATGATGAATATTTCTTCAACGAATGGCTGCAAAAAAGTAGAAAATGAAAAAAATACAAACTTGTTGATGCTGCCACTCCACCGATGATGAGTGATGGGATGGCGAAGATTGGACACAACACTGCTGCGGAGAAGCACATGACCTTACCCTGGGTGACACTGGCACTGGACAGGACTCTCTGGTAGAAAGCCTGGTAGCAGATTCCTCCGATGGCCTCAAAAAGACAGGTTATTTAGGTTATGATGTAACTTGCAGTAATAGAGTACTTGATAAAGTATTCATTGAGACCTAATCTGTGAAAATACCCAAAGATCATAGGTCTGTAAAACCACGCCGCATTAATCTGATATCCAAAACAATGCTGGACATGTTCTTAACATTTGATCAGTCAGTGGGAAGATAGAATGAAATAGATTCATTTAGCAATTTGAATTGAATTTAGGTGACTTTTTTTGTATATTGAAGTGGATTCTAAATCAAATGCTTGGTTTGAGGATATTTTTTTTTTTTGCTTTCCAGCTAAAACCAATAACTAATTATTGTGTATATATATATATATATACATACATACACACTGTGTTCCTACTCTATATCACGGTTCTTGCCATTTTACAACTCTACTATGCATATAATTGTGTGGGAAATGGTAGTACAGTCTAGGGAGGGTTGATAAGTGTTAGTAAAGCAAAAATAAAACTAAATATAATAACTACTGTATCTCGCCTATATATATATATTTTTTTTTTTTCCTGTTATGTTTTTTCTTTGCCCTTGCTGCTGATTTGAGTTGGTTCATTTGAGAAAAAGTGCCATGCAGTGTCTCATGGTGGCGCTAAAAGTGTCCTGTGAGAATTAACGTAATTTTCCGTCAGCTGTTTTGAAAGCCCTGTTTCGGTATCAACCTTTGTTTGTTTTGTTTTGGGGTTTTATTTACCAAGAAATGTAAATCATCCACTATCTACCGCTGCTGTGCTGCAGGTGTCTCACTGACTAACAGTTGAGTCTCTCTGAATATTCAGAGATTAATTCTACTTTCACAAGAGGTGACGCAACATCTTTACCGTAATATCTGAAGACGCTGTGCACCCCGACATAAAAACGCTCCTAACAAAAACCATATGGAGCCTTAATATTTTATCACTTCAGGTCCGGAAATCATATTTTCTGTGTCCACATTGGGGCTGCGGTTCCCCTATTGGTGACCTTTAGTAGTAGTGTATTGAGACATTATTGACTGTGTGCAGTGTTATTTACCATTAACAGTAGATCATCTATCCAACGACCGGCGTCTTCCACCTCCAACCTGCCCATCCATGGTTGCTGGGATAGTTGGGTAACTGCAGTAACGGTGGCATTGGTAGAATACGGGCTCATGAGGACGAAGGGGACACAGAGCCACTGTGGGAAAGGACACATGGACGGTTACACATACAGTACATCAGTCCAGTGTGATGGTGAAAATATCTGGTTAATACCAGGCCGATGAAAATCAGGCAGAGCTGGATGACGTCGGTGTAGGCCACGGAGTACAACCCTCCCATTAAGGTGTAGATGATTGCCACGGCGGCAGAGATGACCACAGCCAGCCAGGACGAAATATCCATCACTATGCTGATTGTCCCCCCTGAAACAGAAATACTAGTCAAATATTTATAATTACACAGTTTAAAATCAATCAATGATCAATCACTGACTGTCCAATGCAGGACATTTGGTTGTCATAATGTTTTGTTTGTTTTTTTAATAGGGGCAGTGGTGTCTTGGTGGTTAAGCAGCCGGAGGTTTAAGGTTTGAATCCACCAGCTGCCAAGTTACTATTGAGCATGGCATCGTCCCCACAAACTGCTCCCCGGGCGATAGATGCCCCCTGCTGACTTCGGTGAGTCTGATGTGTGCAGTGTCACAATGGTAATTTTCTCTCTTTCTAAAAAAAATCTATATATGAATTAGAGGGTTCATACTTTAATATATGTATAAGAATCTAAAAAAAATCTATATATGAATTAGAGAGTTCATACTTTAATATATGTATAAGTATATAATAATAATAATGTAATGTTTCGATCTGGGTTACGGCACCAGTTGAACGATTTGGCTCTTCTTTGTTCGTGAACCAATTGGTTTGATGCCAATTGGAGGATTTCCTCTCCCCGTAGTCACAGCACCAAAGTTGAAGAAACCACCTCGTAGGTATTCCCATGCAAGGAATGAAACAGCCGGTAGATGGTCGATTCGATTCGATTTTGTCACCGAGCAAGGTGTTATTACAAAGGAAGTGGACGGAGCCTTGAGGTCCATTTGTTCCTAGGGTGTAGAGGTGTTTTGGAATAGCGGGGAGTTGGTGTGAAGAGAAATCAGGAGAAATTCTCTTTGAATGTTTGGGGATATGTAAATGCGTGTGTTTGGGTAGGCCTTTGGTGTCTTAGCATCTTGCTGCTTTCAGACTCGAACCAAATGTGAAAACCACTGAAATCTAACATGTTTGACTTACCCAGTATCCCAAGGATACATGCAATCCAAAAAATGTCAGCTAGCAGGGACGGAATGAAGATAATAGCCGTGACGGTGTTGCCATATTTCTTCTGAAAGGGGTCCATGATGGTGACGTACTCTTTGGAGCGAACAGGTCCCACAAAAAACAGCCCCCCTGAAAATAGAGAGAAATGTGTTGACCCCGTTTTGAAAATTGTATTCGCAGTTGCCGGACCACTGTTAGCATTGTGACATAATGGAATTTTAAATGTTGCATTAACTCAGTACTCAAATAGTGGGGTTTGTCCCCCGACCCCCCATGGGCTTCCAATGGAATAAGGCACGAATATAGACATAAGTATACCACTGATGTAATGCTTATATGATAACAAGCCTCCAGTCAGTTTGTACAGTTAAAAATATACATGATATCAGGTTCTCATTAGTATTTCAATTCGTGGGGGTGTGGGTCAGGGATATGGGGTGGGGTGAAGGCATTTCTGCCCCCAAGGGGGGACATGGCAGAAAATAAATGAGAACCACTGCACTAATGCAACTTGCTCACCACAGCCTATCAATCATCAAATTTCACTTATTTTGTAAACTGTTA